GCGACAGGTTTATGTAATGTTGTTGAAAGTCATGGTGTCCTGGGTTAGACTCACACCCTATACAACAACCACAGTTGGACTCCACTCAGGGACTTTAGTTGCATGTCAGTCCTCTCTCTATCCCCACATTTCTTTTTATTCTTCTCCTACTATCAGCTCAAAAGGTGAAAATGCCCCAAAAAAGTCATTATTTTAGGCAAACGACATAATTAAACAAAACTTATATATCCCTCACATTGATCAGATTTGGTATCTGATGGTGACATTTTAATTAAAGCACATTTCACCAGCTCCCTATTGGCAGAAGTAATATTGCTCCGAGGCTCTGTGTTATCTTATCTTTGCGTTTCTCAAATGACTGCTGTAGTGACTAATACAGGTTGAATTAAAAGTTCATCTTTCAAACTGGAGCACAGACATGTTGAGAGCGTCTGCGCAGCTCACAGACAGCAGCAGCGATTGTTGTGGTCGCTCCTCAGTCATTGCAGCCTGGGATGAGTTCTTGTGTTCTCTGCCAGGGGCTTCTCTGGCACGCTGTGAATGTGGAGCCAAAGGCAGTCTGGGGTTTAGAAGGTTAACCATCTGGAATGGTGCATTATTTAATGTTGCATATGCCGAGACAAGCTGGCTCTGAGATTCATCACACTTCCCACCACGAAGGTGCTCCCATTCTCTCACTCATGTCTGTTTTTTTTCATGTGTATGATAGGACTGTCGGATCTGTCACAAACTTCAGTCGGGGAGAATTTGAACTCTTGTGGCTCAGAACACCGTTCAGTCAAAAGTTTTGCTAAATTTTTAGACTCACTTTGAAGCAGATCTGTCGACTTTTCAAGAAGCAGGAAGAATCAGAGGCACTTTTTTAAATTGTAGCGATGGAAATGAACCATATCAACAACCCAAAATGTCTTCACGTCCAAGATTTTTGCATATTATCCGCAGTCTTCCGACTACAAGCGGCCCACTCCCATCTGTCTTTGCCTGCCTCTGAAACCGTTTCTGCTTAGCTCAGAGAAAAACAATACTGTGGTATCATTTCCCTGATAATCAACATGAGAGCAAACAACATCAAGTCTGAAGGAAGCCAACAGGAAAGTCATAAGGAAGTGCAGAGAAACCCCCAAGTGTCTTTAGTTACTGGCACATGGTAGCACTGATCCTGGATCTGGATCTGATGGAACGCAGAATGTTGATAATACAAACTTACTTAGGGTTGACTGACATGATATGGCAATATTGGTTTTATATGATACTTGCAGTACTTATCATTGCTGGGTATTGTTTTGCCAGATTTGCCAAAAACAGACATACTTGTGAAGTTATTTTATCCATTAATGTGTAACCACGTAGCATGTTTGTCAAACAGTGTTTTTTCCTAATTTGGACTATCCAAATAAAGTGGTACCAATTGCCTACTGTCTGTAGAGTTTGTACATTCTTCCTGTTATCAACTCTATGAAAACTTGAGCAACTGAACATCCAGGTTCCAGCTGTTATCCATCCAGGACCATGACACACAGAATAATGGTCCTGGATCAATGGTAGATTTGACGAGACAGGCACTTTGACCCAAGACTAGATTGCCATCCGGGCACGTAAATTCCTGAAGGCCCCAGGTTCAATGTGTAGCTTACTTACTTTGTGGTAATTTGATGAATTGCACTTTAGTTTGATAGAGGTCTGTTGTAGTAAATCATCCTGCATTATCACTGCATCCCGTCTCGTCTGTCCCTCTGTGTTAACACTGTGTTTTTTCTGCTGATATTACGCTAGTGCATATTCTTAAATGAATTTGTGTTAAAGCAGTTGCCACAAACTTACTGACCAACCACATACAGGGGGGCAGGATTGAGTAGGAGGTCAATAGAGTGGCCAACAGCTCATTTTTGGCCTAGGGGCCTCCTTGAAGTTCAGTCCTCTCCTGCTTTCACTCATTGCCTGCTCTGTCCTGTTCTCACCCCGTTATACACCAGAACAGTGAAGACAAATGTATTATAAACCATGTTGTTTGACTTTGGAGCAACATGTGTAGAACAACTGAAGGGCGCCTTGCCTCTGCACACATCCATGTCCGCTGTAGCACTTAGCTCTACTGTAACTGTATCTGTGGTTTGGCAGTCATATCGACTTTTTTCTCCTTCCATTTCTTTTTCAGTCCATAAACAGTGATCCTGTGTCTCTGACATGACTGGAAATAGCTCATATATTCTTTTTATGGCATGTTGGAGTTTATCCATTGTTACATCCATGACTACTTTTGACTGCCGTAGGAAATTACTGGACTATTTAAGCCAATCCGTTTCTCAAAGGCACACGAAGGACAAATATAACAGTGACCACCGAGACCATCAAAGGGCAAACATCGCTGCAGTGCTGTCAGAGACTGTGTAATTACATGCAGTCATAAGTCACCCGAGGTTTACATGGATTCATACTATCCAGTCCTGTGGGACTAGAGAGCTCTGGGTTTCTTTCTTTCTCCTCTTCCAGTTGGGCCAGAGAATGACTTCATTCTCTGGGGTGATGCAGCTTTTGCCTCCAGGGACAGTTTATGCTTAAATCAATAGTTACTACTGCTTGATTACCACTATGAAATGTGGGTAATGAGATAGTAAATATCTATGAAGAAATGTTTGCTTCAAGCTCATATTTTATGTCCTCCCGCTGGTGTATGGCAGTGTCTTATGATAATGAATAGCATTCCTGTTTCCCATCACCCACCCTGAGCCAAACACATCTCCACAGTGGCCTCCCAAGACTTTTCAGATTCAGAGAATTTAGGCCTGTCAGTTCGGCTGATTACTGGTTTCCTCATCACAACTGTTTCCTGTTCTCATTCCCTAGCATGCAAACAGCTGAACTGGCCGATACCCTACTGATTGGTTTAGGGACATCAGATAGCTTGCTCTGGGATGTACCTTTATCTGACGTTCAAATGCTTCAAGACTAAACTGTTTGCTGAGCCTTAGCTACTGTTGTCACGCCTGTCATCCTTTCTGTTCTCGCATGGCATATATGGAGGTTACAGTTCGTACGTAGGAATATTTGGTGGTTCGGAGACCAGTGCTTAACCTCGAACCAGTTCTTCGCCAGCCAAAGAACCAGCTCTCGACCAACAGCACCAATATTTGGCTGGTCTAGAACCAAGAACTGCTTCCGTCAGGGGCTGGGGGTGCATTGTGGCCAGCCATATGTATTTATTAGCTATTAAGGCTCTCTAGCATGTGGAAAAGGAAGATTCGTAAAAAAACCCCCTCAGAATTGGCATTAGCACCAACACAGAGCTAGCACGAGGTTTGCGTTGGTGGATTATAGTCATTTCTGAAGCAATTGCAGACAAGGTGGACAAAAGCAGTCTTCTCATTTCTACAGGGTTTCTATAGATTTCAACTGGTTAAAATTTAGACTTTTTAAGACCATTGTGAATGTAATTTAAGACCAATTCTACATCCATACTGGCAATAAACAGGAAAATCACTATTGGTTCCATGTCGCATGTTGATCAAAGTCAAAGTCAAAGTCAGCTTTAATGTCAATTACTTCACATGCACCAGACATATAAAGGAATCGAGAGGACATTTCTCACACAGATAAAGTGCACAGGCAGATAAGACAAGACATTTCCTAATACTAAAAGTAAACATTCAATTTCACAACAGATAAGACATTTACTAATGCTAAAAAGATAAACAATAAAATATAAAATATACAATAATATAAAATATACAAAAAGGCAAAAAGGCAGTCGGTAATGGAGTGCAAAAAGAACAGTCAGTAAAAGCAGTAAATGGCAGCCAATTTCAGTCTGTATGGTATGTGGTGATAGTTATCAATACAAATTGATCAATACAATTTTTTTTTTAATCAAAAACACATGTAAAAGCGAGACTAAAAAAAATAATTTTATACTCATATTACAATGGTGGTCTATGGGGAAAATGATTTTTGGGCTGCGTGAGATTTTTTTCCCACTGCAATAGCAAGAGTGGCCACTGGGAGAAATGGAAATTGGCAGTAATGTTACTACTGTAGACAGTAAGCTAGTTAGCCAAACACGCTAACGTTTGCAGACAAACACCCTGTTTAATGCATTCCTTACAGTTTGCTCCTGTAGTTTTGCTTTTGAAAAAAAAAATCCACCACCCTCCATAGTCTTTAAGTCTGTCCCTTACTAGCCCCATGCACACCACTTCAGCATGTGAAGAAGTCCAGAGCTTGGCAGGAATTCCATGCCTAGTTATGATTGTGAAGCTATGATTTGACAATCACTGTTCAGAGATGGGATGTAATGAATGGTCTGTGAGTGCCGCAAAGCCTCCTCCTTCTCCTACTGTGTTCTTCTGAATTCATATATAGCCTGCAGAGACTGGATTAAGTTTCCTTGCAGTTACTAAAACTAACCTCTCATAGATGCTTGAATGACTTGGCATGGTCCCCAATAACCAAACTGTAGCTGATATGTAATTTCATCTGACTCCCCCGAGCCTCCAAACAGCATCTCCGCAATGTGTTACAATGGTCTCAGCCTGTTGTTTTCCTGCTAATCAGTAGCAGATGTGTGCAGTTTGCCTACACGCTCTCTCGTGTTCTTTGGCTGTATGTTGTGTTCACATACGCTGACTCTGGAGCTCAGGGTCTTGGTCCAACTGCAGAGGCAGTTTGTTGTTCTTTGTGTGGCAGCGGCAGCAGCTCAGCCTGCTCTGCTATGATGTCATTGGTTGCTGGTTGTGAAATACTTGAGGAAATGAGAACCTCATTGAACCCGAGCTGAATGCTGCACATTTCTACTGCATCTAGTTTGTAGTCTGATCTTGGGTGGTTTTGTTTTATCTTCTTTTGTGTTTATCTCCAGCAGTTGTTTCAGTTATGACAGACCGTTGAGAAATAAGTCTAACATGGTGGCACTAACAGGGTGTTTAAATTCACCTCCAATGTCCTGATAAGTCTGTTCCTGGTTATTGACAATTACTGATGTTCTCATGCTTTTTCTGTTTTGACAGAGGACAGCATCTCTGGGTCAGCTCCCTGTTGATGACATCAGAGACCCTCTGCCTCCTCAGTGGAGATGCTACATGTCTCCACAAGGGCGGCGATACTACGTCAACACCACAAACAATGGTAAGAGTCAATAAAATGTAACATTGCTCTTAAGGGATTCAGATTGTACATAACTGCAGTGACTATCAATATCAATGTCTGTGTGTTAAGTGTTGAGGTGGAGCCAGGATGGGGTTAGCTTAGCTTAGCATAAAGATAAAAAATTCAGAAAACAGCTTTAAACAGCTTAACAAACGTGTAAAATGTAAAAACAGCAAATGGGAGTTACAGGTTGAACTATTTCTTTAGAGAAAACAGTTTATCCATCCACCCAGTACATCTGTACAGTGTATAGTGCCAGTTTCTAGATCAATGAGCACAGGTTTGGTTTTGGTCTCCACACAGGAACCAAACCTGGCAATAGTTCCAGAACATAACTCTCCCTAAAACCACAATCTGTATATTAATGTTTATGTATGGGTAAAGTTAACAAGATACGTTAATGCACAGACACAATACTGATATTGATCTTCTCATCTCGGTCTCAAATAAGTGTATTACCCCTGAATGGATGCTGAAGCAAACTAAAAAATGTGATGAAGATCTGGAGTTATAAGGAGCGTCTTTTTGAAATGGCTTGTAAGCGGATTTATGGACATTTATTAGCAATGGCCACAGCAACATCGTCAGGAAGGGGAAGTCACACTAAATCTAAGATTATGGATATCATGTCTATGTCTTCAGATTTCCACCATTTCTATGCAAATTGTTACTACTACTTTTAGAACTTCAGCATGCACCTGAGCACCTCACACACTATCTTTGTCTCACGTCTCACCCTCCACACACCCCCTCCGTTCAGCTCTCTCGCACCCCCCGGGGTAGGTGAGCCTTGCAGTTTGAGAAATAACAATATTTCTTTATGTGGTTGTTACATTTTTAGGAAAAGGAAATGTAATCAACATCGCTTCAAGGATAATTTCGGTTTATTACAATGTGGGTCTAATCCGTATTAATAACACTGTATTCACCAAGTTAATTGTCAAGATAGAATTTGGGCGTCGTCACTAAAAAGAATCCAACTGGGCTAGAAGAAACACAGTTCGATGATCATACAGGTTGTAATGAAGCCAACAGTTGAGTAAAATTCAGTTGAAAGAGGAAAAAAATGGGAATGGTGGAATTATTAACCCAAACTGTTTGTTTTTCACATTCTTCGTTGCTAGACCACAAAGTCAGAACAGCTTTTTGGTTTAGCAGTGATGTTTTAGTAGTTTAACTTACTTACTAGGGGTGGGAATCTTTTGGCACCTCACGATTCGATTCAATTACGATTCAGAGGTCAACGATTCGATTCTAAACCGATTATTGATGCATCTCGATGCAACAATTTTTTAATGTACATTATCATGCGTGATTTTAAAATATATATATACATCTGAGTTTGCTACTCAGAGTTTTCTAATCACTTCCTACTACTTTTGTGATATTCATTAAAGACAATCAACAGATGAATTACCTTCTCTATATTTTATTAGAGAAAAAGCTTTTCTTCATCACAAATCTGACTTGCATTTTAACACAGTATGGAAGTATGTAAAAAAACCATTCATTTTCCTTTTCTTTCTATCTGTCGCATGTTATAGCCACCCTTCCAGCGTTCGTCAAAGTATCCAAAACTTGTGATTTGGTTTCAGTGTAGGGATTGCAGTGTCGGTGAAGTATCGCCGACAAGGTATCTTGTACCTCGGCTCCAGAGTATGCACCATCTCCAAAAAACCCACGTTCTCTACGACAGAGTATGGTCTTAAATCATAATAAATTTCACAATGGATTTAGTAATTCATTTGGTCCTATCCGAGTTCGGTGGCAGAAGGAAAGAAAGGAGAGTTTTCTGTAGCGCTCTGCAGTAGGCGAACAGAATGTTGCAGCACGCAAACTAATTTTTAAAATTCCGATTATTAACTTCTGCATCGAGACGGAATCGTTCTAGAGAGAATCGCGATGCATCGAAGAATCGATTATTTTCCCCACCCTTATTACTTACTGTAGTTTTGTGCACTCAGTTTTCCTGTGCAGTGAGGAATCATCACCGAAATGTTGCTCACTTTAGTTTTTTGCTCCAAAGAAAGTAGTTTATGTAACTGATGAAATAACTAATAAAGAGAGATGATGGCCCAAACCACAGCAATAAGACCCAAGTTGTAATAAATGGGATTGTCGCTATATTTATAAACCCAGCTGCTTACTTCAATGCTGTTTTAAATCCTGTGAAGCTTTTTTGCTCTTTACATTTGTAATATTTTTTTGCTGTGAGAAATGCTTTTGCCATTGCCAGTGGGATGAGTTTTGGCAGCCAGGCATACGATTGCAAGTGACACTGATTGGCTACCTGGTAACCATGGCGGCCAATGTCAATGCCCGTCCTAGATGGATTTTGTATTAAGTCAATACCCGTTTTCTGAACAAGCACGTTTCATCAACAGTTTTGTTTGAAGGAGGAAGTTACTTCAGAAAAAAAAAATGTTGCAGGTCAAAACCATCTAGAATATTTGGCAAAACCAATGGCCAAATCCAAGGACAAATACCAACGAGTCCACGAAGTCCGGGACGTCCATCTTTGAATACAACAATACTGTAAAATGTTTGCATGAAGATATTAGCCAGTGCAGTGTTCGGTGGGCATTATGTACTTTCTAGCTATGAATGTCACTGCTGTGATGTGAGGAAGATGCAAAAGCTTAAATGTTTTCAACAAAGTGTTAAAACTAGTAGACTCCTGAGGTGACACCTTATATTTCTTACCTCTCTCTGAAAGGTGCGCTTAAAAACATTCATTCACCAGCTTTAATCTGTCACTTTGCACAAAAAGATCCCTTGCCTTGTTCCCCAACTACACTTTTGGATTGAAAATAAAACAATATTTTTCATTAAACACGTTCCACCGAGGAGCTTGTATTTATCATAAAAATGAGTTAAACGTATGCTCTGTCTCTACAGCAGTGATGGTACCAGTGAGAGACAGAGGGCGTAGAAGTGATACTGCTGATAGTGCCTTGTTTCTGTCAACACAATCACCACTCAGTGTCTCCCCGAACACACACATTCACACACACACACACACACACACACACACACACACACACACACACACACACACACACACACAGGCACAGAGACAGCTTAATACCCTCCTCTGTTCCGCAGACATAGCAACATAGCCTGTCTTTACTATCCCTGAGTGACCTCACTGTAAAACCTGACTGATGATACTAATATCTTGTCTTGGCAGCGCTCATGTGCCTTTGACTCCAGGATGTAATAAAGTTTGCAAAGTGCAGGTTTCTCAGACGCAGTGCTCCAAATAAAAAAAAAGGGGGTGACAACGGGCCTCTTGTAGGAACATTTTCTTATTTTTCAGGCCTTATCACATCAAAATTCATCTGTGGCACATTTTGGGTTTGTTAGGACAAAGTAGTGCTAGCTACTCTCTGCCAACAGAAAGTAAAGGGCATGGACACGGACGTGGAACTGACAACCGGACTGAGCCTGCTATAAAAAGAGGGTTTGAGTCGGCCTCCAGTTGAACTGTGGTGACATTTGTTTGTGGTGTGAAAATAAAGCAGCAATGTGACTTCTTGTCTCCGTATGAATGTATTGCCTATATTTATGAAAGCTTATTTGGTAACCATGGCAACATGTACACACATGAATGCAGGGATTTCCCCTAATACAACAGGAAAGAAAAAGGTGTGTCTTGTATTTTAGCAGTTTCTCATTAAAAAGTGAGTGAAACATGGTAGGAACTATTTTCCCATGATATTACAATACAGATTCCTCTGTCTGTCTGTCTGTCTGTCTGTCTGTTGCACCTACGGGTACAAATAAAGTAACCTGCAGCTGAAGTTACTATTTATACACAACATGGTATATGAGGTTGAGACAAAGATTAGAACTAATGCGAAACAAAGATGTATAACAGTTCATTTGTTATATATAAAACAGAGGTATGGTCTAGTGTGTACTTGAACTTTGTTTCTGACTTTTGGGTATTTTTTGGTATGTTAATCAAAACTGATCTGTACATAACAACTAATGATGATGAGTGAAAAGGGTTGGTTTAATAAGCTAATTCAGTCTGCACCTTTTTGGCCAGTATAACGAGTATAACTTGTTTTAATTTGATTTATTTATTTACAATTACGTGTTTGAGTTGTACTATATATGTTAAACTTACCAAATATATTTATTTACATGAGTTCAATTGACCAAAATAAACTAAACTAAACTAAAATAAAGGCTAATAATGATAATCAGTTAATTGTGTGTCACCAGAGAAAACCACAATAAAGTGCTGTGTGCCTTGCTCTCAAACACCAGACATTTATTTCCCGCCTTGAATCTTTGTAGCACTGATGATGCAGGATGACATCACCAGCGCTGTCCAGTGTATGAGTTACCTGTTAGTCTGTAGAACCTCAGGCGTACAGCTCTCGGGTTGTTTTTAACAAGTCAGTGTGAACACGAACTCAGACCAAAATGAACCGCACTTTAAATCACTCCTACAGGCATGATTCCTGCAGGCCCGATGACCATGTTCACCTGTGTCTATAAGCATGATTGTGGTTTAGCAGTCACTTATGAGTGTAACCAGCAGCACACACAGGGATGATCACATAATGCACGTCTCTGATCGAGGTTGCAGCGGTCAAACTGCGGCCGCGAGAGGGGACCTAGAATTAGCCGAGGGCTCCACCCAGCCATGAGACCAGGGGAGTCGCTCTTCCTTTTCCTCCTCTCCTCCTCTATTTAGTGCTAATGACAAAGAGCTGGAAACAAACCAGACTCCTTGGACCATGTTGAATGTGTCGTTATTAGATGCTTCAACAGTTAAGATAACCTCAAAACTTTCAATTCTTCTCCCTCCGTCTGCATGTTCTTCCTCTGGGAATTCAACAGATCTGTTTTGTCTACATGCGACAGGGTGTGGAGGCTTTTCTTTAGTAGTAAAACTGATCATATTCCAGAGGGACGGAGTCAGAAATGACAAGTTTCACAACATTTCCTAAGAGAGACAATGATTAATTTTTCATAACTTTTCTGCACATAAAGAACCATCTGTAGTCCTGGCTCATAAATAAAGCAGCATTGTTGCTGTGGTGTTGTGAAAGTGGCCTCTGTGGGCACAGAAAACCTCCACGACTTATTTTCTGTGTCTTCGCTGCGTGATGACAAAATGAAAGCGCAGAGAACGCTCACGCTCATGCTCCCTCGACTACAGGCCTGTGGTTCTTTCAAATGCACCACCGCGGCAACTGTTTCCAAACAAACCCATCTGATAACATTTTTCCTGAAACATTAGGTATTTATAGCATCTCTGCTATTTTCACTGGACCTCCCCTTTGTTACTCTAAAGTTCAGCTGGATTAGATACTGTCCTGCGTGTGTGTTTCATGTGTGCGTTTGTGTTTCCGCGTCGCCATGGTAACGGAGCAGAGTGCGTGGGTGAGGGCTGCATGTCCTTGTGTCAGAGCTTGTTTTTTCTCTAGGTTTTCCTTCCTGTGTTGCTGGGTGCAGCGGTGCAGGGTGCTGCGGTTTGTACCAGCCGTCTCCAAAGACTCTCCACTCATCCCAGCCTGACCAGCGGGCTGCTTTATAAACACACCAAACCAAATACTCAACAGTCCCAACACACACTGTAGATTTATAGCAGACAGTCCCCTCAGTTTGCAGGTATTTTTGAATGAAGTCTGATTCACAGTGAGCTTTATAAATGAAATGAAATGCATCTGAAATTAGACTGGATGATTTGGGTTTCTGCTACTGCACACAGATCTGCCCTGTAAATGTTGCATTCTGTGCTTATATGTTATATATTCTGGTGATTTAGGAGTCAAATCATTTCATTTGAGCAATAATGTGGCCTTCCTACCGCAGCCTGCCCCACAACTCATAAAGAGCCCCAGACTAGCTGCTTTTAACTATTACAGTTTTGATGCGGTTCAAAGTCTGTTGCTCTTTTTGGTCAACATGGCCATTAAAATGGAAGTCTTCTTCTTATCCACAGTATAAGCATAAACACATATTCCAACAGTATGAACATTAGCTAATTACGTTAGCTAGTCAGCTGTAGCACATAGAGATTTGCTGCTATTCCACTAGCTTCTGTTTCTCTCTCTTTCTGGAAAAATTTATGTTTCTATGGTTAAATAGATAAAAGGTATTCTAAATTTGATTTTGACTAAATAAAAAAAAAACATTAATTTGTCAGAAAATTGCTCGTCACAATTTCACCAAACCCAAAATGACATCTTCAAATTGCTGCTTTTTCCCACCCAACAGTCCAAAACCCACTGACTGACAAAGAAAAGCTTCCCTCATCAATCCTCACATTTAAGAAAGTGGAACCAGAAAATGTTGACCAAAATGATTAACTGATCATTTTACATTGACAATGAATGTAGTTTTCTCTCTTCTGGAGCAGACCCGTTTCATTTCAACTCTCTTGCCTGCAGATATAGACAACCTTGTTCAGTTTAGATATTAAATGGTGGTCCTTGTTCTTAAATACCACCGATAACAAAATGCTGTCTGTCCTTTGCTCATAAACGAGTCTCCAGCAAGGGGTTTGTTTACATGGCGTCTCTATGACACTGTCAGCTCAGCTGTCAATCAAAAGAGTACACTGGCCAGCCCACTCTGAGGCTTGGTGTGGTCTGTGATTGCTAACTTTTTCCACAATAGCTACAGTGCATCTTCTGCTTTTTCTGTTTGTTCTATTGCTATGAGAGGAGATCCCTTAAGCGCCGTCTGTCAACGGTGTTTCCTCTTTGGAATATGAGTGTTAATGCGCTGTGATTGATAAAAAACAGAGACAGGAGGTAGCTAATGCATCAAGGACCAGTGTCATATGGTTATGAATAAAATATAGCAGTGTCAAAGCTAACTAGGCCATTTCTCCTCCTCCCTGTTCAGAATCGGTGATGTCTCGCCTCACTTGTGGCGTGGTTGGACAGTAAGCTGATGCCAGGGTTATTGTTGTGTTTAGACCTGCTGTTGACTCTTTTCATTCATACATTCGCGTGTACACACAACTGCTGTCTTCTGTTGACGGCTGACGATTTGCTGCTACACACCAGTGACTCTGAGCCAGTCATGTTTGCAAAATGAAAATGTGGTTATGACTGACTTTGGTGAATCAGAAAAGCATTAATTGGTGTTTTTATGTTGCATAAAAGAGCATATCCTCATGCAGCTTGAATCATTAGCAACTATCATTGATATCATGAATTCACATCATTACGATCTGACGGGCCTGAAAGGGGCGGATGAGCCATTCCCCGAATGGTAAAGTGGGTAAAGTGAGCCGGCTTGGGTTTATATTCCACAATCAAGACTTATCAAGGCAATTTAGAGTGAATGACAACTTTTGAGACTTTGCTCGTCCGTGACAAGGCGGCTGATGAGAATCACTCCTGCTACTGCTGCATATGTATCACTGTATCTGGAGGTATGAAACTGGCAGGTGCCAAGTCTGATCCCTCACCTGCATAAAAACCTGTTTGGCGGAAATGATCAGCAATCTGCATTTCAAGTTGCCAGTTGCCTAGAAACTAAACCTGTTCCACGCAGGTGTCAAACATAGTAGTAAATATGTGGGATTTCACACCCCATATCTGAAGTCACTTTAAAAAAACTATTTAATAAGCTTTAATTTGACTAAAAATATTTTTAGGGGCAGGTTAAATTAAAAATACTATTCATAAGCTGACTTATTTTTTCAATTGAGCTTCCTGGCTTTGAATCTGGCAAACTGGGTATTATCCACATAGTAAATGTAATATGAATCGTTTTTTAAATGGTGTTTTGACTGCTATCCCTTTGGCAGTCACAATAACAAACAATTTCCCTGAACTAAGTAGATTATGTTATATTCTTCTGCATTAATATCCTATATTTCTCACAGTATTGATTTGTTTATGACAACCTAACGGAGAGAAATTGAGGCATTTAGGGCCAGTGAGTAAAGGCTGTGCGCTGGTGTTGTACATCAAATGTGAAGGCACAGCCTCTCTCCATAAGCCTGCTGCCAGTTATCCCCTCCATGCGTGTCATTTGAGCTGATGGGCTTGGCTCACTTGTCTCCTCTGCTAAGCGGCGCCAAATAGAGCAGAGGCAGCCAAAAAGACCCAAATGAAATAAGAGCTCTTTACATGTCCCTCTCCTTTCTATGCTGACAGTAGATGGCTAATTGAGCTCAGGGCTGTGGTGAGAATGGACATAGGGGAGTAAAAATCAAAGAGAGTCCTTCTGTATTAGGGTCTTTGTCAGTCATGCTCTACATCCTCCTTCTTCAGCATCTTTACCAGCATAAATCAAGTGGGGGCAGATGATGGAAGTATAAGCCTCTATTGAGCTCAGATAACTTTGAACTCGGGCACCATTTCATAAATTTGTACAATCAAATGTGATTTGGGGCTGTTAGCTTGTGCGTAACTAGTAGAACAATACTTTACTAGGAGGATCAACTAGCAAAAACATAGTTTGCATTTATAAAGAATGTGGTTGCGGTCTGATTTATTCATTTCACATTTCACCCTTATCCTCCTCCCAATCTGACAGCGCGGTTGAGGGAGGCCTCTGCAGCTCTATATCTCTCTGAATGTGAATCCTACGCCACAAACATTACTGAAGACGCCTTAACTTCCGCTTCACTGTGACTTTAATATTTTATTTGTGGAAGTATGGGTCTCAAAAAAAAAGAGAGACTTTTTAAGGTAGCTTTTAGCCATGGTGTTGCGCAATGGAAGAGGTTAGCTGAGTGGGTCCATCCTACTGTTTGCTGTCACATGCTTATAATTCATTCTTGTGATTTCATTCATCTTGTCTTTGAATTGATACCTATATCTCAGATTGGTGATTCAAATTGCTCTGGTTTTATGCTCATTAGTGGCAATTCTAGCATTTTGGGCTGGATTAAGAATCACCTTCCTACAAAGCTAGCCAGCTATCTAACTACACAGGAAATATAACAACAGAAAAAAAGCCACAGAAATGGTTGTTAAGGAGACTTCCTAGAAATCACTACCACTTTAAAATATAGCCAATTCCAACATATGAACACAATGTCTGAGTGAAGTGAAACAATATGCTGTAATACACTGGAAGATCTGTGCGTTTTGTTCTCGTTTAACGGCTGACTGAAAGTGCCAAGTATGCACCCGTTATTGTATCACTTCTTCATATTGTTGCCCACAGATAGTTCCAAAACTGGTAACAAAATGGCAAAAAGAATATAACAGCTGGTACTGCTCTCATTCTTTTTCTTCTCTTTCTCCTGCACATCATCAGAGACGACATGGGAGAGACCGTCCAGTACACCTGGGACCCCTAAGATGTCCCTCCGACACAAGAACTCCCTGCCAGCAGGTACTGCAATCTATCTCTCTCCATCTGAACTCTCTATCAGTTCAACTTCCTCAAGTTTTGTGGCCCAGGGCTGTGAATTCTCATAAAATTCCACAGTGGCACAAGACACCCGCTTATGCACACCAAACACACAGACACTTCCTGTGACTAATTTTATCTGTAGCCTCAACTGCAGAACTAAGGCCTCCTCTGTCTTTCTTTTGGCCCTGCTCTAAAGGCAGATAAACAGAGGGAGCCAGTAAGGTTTGTGAGGTGTTCAAATGGTGGAAGCAGCCCTCGTGCATTTGTATCACTTCTGTCACGGACAACTACTTAGTTTTGCCTCAAAACAAACTTTTAAATGGGAAAGTGTTTGCTCATGCTGGCTGTGTGAATGTGAATGACAAATTTCTTTTAAGCTCAGGAGACAGGAGACAACAATATTAACTGCTGCTACTAACCTTCCAACAACAGAACTAGAAACTAAAAAAGTAACTGAATGTCTGTGGGCAAGTCATTTAATTGTCACCTGACACACAAATCCTGGGTGGAATGGCTGGAATAATAAGTTAGTGTTGTGTGGCTCGGTCCGATCCACTTTGTTTCCCATTTACAGAGCCGGGGCAGTGTATCAACACTGGATAACGCCTTCTTTTAAATGGAGGTTTACTAAATTAAAGGACTAAATTAGAAAAGATTAAAATAGACTAGTTGTCATGTAGAGATTAGTTCTTTCTCATACACTTAGTAACTGCTGTTCTAATAATGTTACCATTAGACCAAATGACTAAATAAAGTTGGTTACTTTAACATAATTGGACATTTCCAACTCATTCTTATTTGTCTGAATATTGCCCATTCTGAAACACGTACTTCATACCTACATTTAAAAAGCATGGCAGTTAAGTTTAACTGACTATCTGTGCTCGCCCCTTTAAAGACATTTATCAAGCTACAGAAACAAAAAGACAGTTCAGCACTGGCTTGGTTTGACTTGTTACAACTGCAGACACCAAAGGACTAATGAAATTTCATTCTCTCTCTCTCTGTCTTGATCTTTTTCTCATTTCTCTCCAGTGAACGGATTTCACTCAAGTGGTAGTCCCTTGCATCATGTGGAGCATTCACACAACAGTCTGGTTAGGAAGAGCAGTACAGAGCCACAGGTAAAGCTGTCTGTTATTCCTATTCCTATACAACGGGAAATACATCCAATGCATCCCAGTACATTTGCTGAGTGAGCATAAACTCTGTCTTAAAGAGGGTACAGTTTCCATTGAGCCATTTTAATACTTCCTATTTTTTTATACATCACTGTCATTTCTCATGCACACACACTCATATAACCGCTTACATCAAACTAACAGGAGAATGCGAGAGAGAGCTGAGCAGAGCTTCATCGACAGAAGTCTAATTAAGTGAACACACCTGTGAGGGTGAACCATGGCGATTTGGCCTTCATTTGACGGTCATAGTGTAGAGAGACAGGAAACGGGACAGAGAGAGGTGGTGTGACATGCAACAAAGGTTGTTGAAAACATTTGAGATAATGTACACAGCTTAACAAAACATATTACATAGGTCTAGTTGTTTATAGACATTTTAATGTGAGCCGACTTGGGTTTATATACCTTTAAATGACTTATCGGATAAAAGCACAATTCAGTTGTTAGTGAAAACCATACTAAATTACACTGCTTTTTTGTTTCAAATCATGAAGTTAGTACTTTGGTTGCCAATCTGATCTGAAAATAGTGATCGATTCATCATAATTTCAGTGTCTCTCCACCTTATTTAGTAGGTTATTCAAGTTACTACGCACTAGCATTTACCAGCAGTCACATTTTTAGACTTTTATATCAGAATGAATGAAACCCACTGCCAGGTGAACTTCAGTTCTTCCAGTCAACAGTTTAGAGGCTCTAATAAACCTTAGAGCAAAGTTTCTTTTGACTAGGGCTAGGTTTTGGTACTTTACATTTTTTCTTACTTAACACCAAAAATGTACCAAAAACCTTAAAAGCTGCGATATTATAACATTAGTATTCAATTGCAGTCACGTTTCTGGCCAGCCAACAAATTCGGGTCAGGTATTCACTCTCTTTAGATGCTGAATGCTCCACTATGTTTACTAGCTAGTCACTAACTTTATCCGTCTGCTGTTTGGTGCTGGACAGGTAGCAGTAGCACACTCCATTTACAGCTGCCTGCTGCTCCTGAAAACAACAGTGAACCAAAACAGTAAAAACGCGCTATAAAAAGATGCTAAAATACTGTATGCAGTGCACATATTCCCCTTTCATATGCATGTAGACATTTAATCTATTGTAAATATAATTTCAAAAATTCAATACTCAGCCTTACACCTTATAGCATCTTTATGCGGTCATAAAAATAAATCATAGATAATACAAAGCTTGTGTTTGATAGCAATAATAATGATGCACGATGGAGTCTTCAAACCCCCACTCTCTTTTCGCCTCTCATCATTAATGGAGAGGCTGATGGCAGTTAGAGCAGATTAATCCCTCCTACAGTATCTGTTCCCTTGATCATAATTAACCAGGCAGTCAGGGTGCAGTTATACAGGATCCACCCACCACTTATTCACTCTGTCTCCTTGTTTCCCTCCTTTTCTGCATCTTACACTCGAGCACACACACCCAGCCATTCAAAAAATGTGAACACACTTTTGCTACTGGGGATTCAAGGTTCTGTTCTCTTGGATATATGTAATTTTTTGCATGAGAGGAAGTGTGAAACTCCCTATTTTACTACTTTATCTCAGTTTATATTTATACTTAGTTCCTAATTTCTGCTCCCTTCATACACTCTCACACTGTTGGTTCATCTCAGAACACTGGAAATTTCTCTATTCTAAGCTTAAGTGTTAGAAATCACACACGCATACATCCACACTCACACAAAGAGAGAGAAAGCCAACCATGCTTTGCTTTGCTCTGCAGAACTATCCTCCCTACTCTGCACAGCAACACACACTCTAACACACATACATACACACCAGCAGCAGCAGCAGAAGCGGAGTGAGCACCAGACAGACGCTAACAGCGCTCGCCAGGAAAACAACTGTGTTTGTGTGTGTGCGCGAGTGACAGTGTGTGTATGTTGAGCAGTCATGTCTGACACAGAGGACGGAGGTTTTGACGGAGCGTCCTTCTTCTCTCAGCAGAGCCCGGGATCAACGTCACCCACCAGGAAACAGAACAAGGAGACCACGGTCACGGTGAGTGGGGCAACTAACGGGAACTCTTAACGAACCATGAACTCACCCTGGCTCTCTACAGTAGCCCTGAAGGACCAGATTTGATACCAGCTTAAGTATTTTTCCCCCCAAGTTTGGAAATGACAGTATAGGGAAATGCAATTTCCAGAAGTGCAGATTGCCCTGGTGGGATTTCTTTTTCCAGATACATGTTTGCTGCATCACTTGTAATACAAATACATGAATACATGTATTTAACACATTGGGACAATATACAAACTAAATCTTTACTATATGAAAGCTGTAAATATGTTTAATTTCCTCCTCAGTGTTGCTCTGTCTATAGTTCATATCCATTCACTGCTGGTAGAAGTGTTTGGTGCTTGTTTTCAGTTGCTAGTGTACAGATACACAGTGACATCATTCTATCCAGCATCCAGATGATTTCTCCACTGTTGTCAGGCCGTCGCATCCTGTTGGGCCTCCATAAGTAGCTGCTGCTGTGACGTTATGGATTTCTCTTCTTTCTTTTTTTAACTATACATTTAAAACCACAAGCTTGAGATTGGGGGGGCGGCATGTCTCGGCTTCCATAGCAACCAGTGTGATGCTATTGATAAGCAGATGGTTATAAAAGGGAAACATGAGAGAAAGAGAGTTTAGGGGAGCTACATTTGGTACTATTAACTGCTGCTGATATTGTGTACAACACGGTCAATTATAACAGTGGAAGATTTGCTAATTGAAATTCTTAGTCATTTTTTAAACAATGGGTCCTTGATTTCAGGCAGAAGTAGACACAAACAGCTTCACATTTCTGCTGACGACTGTTGATTTAGCTAGTTTCAAAGGTAACTGTCGCTAACAGATTTTGATCAGCTTTATAGCTAACGTTAAATCTGTGAGTTGGTTTGAAACTGTCTCCAGCTGACTCTGGCTGAAACAAGAATGCGCCCTAAAAATAAGCTTTTGTGGCTACATATATGATATAATGCTAAAAAACAGGGCTAAAGTTATAGTACAGACAAAAAGTCATGGAGAAGCATTCTTGTAATGCAGGGTAGCTAGTTAGCAGTATCATAGCACAGTGACAAAAAAAGATGCTTACTATAGAAAAACATACTTGGGTAAACAACACAAAGGTTATATTTTGTTTGTTTGTGTTTTCAAATAATATTTTAGATTTTTACAAGATAATTGAATGTGAGAAGAGTTTTGCTAACATAACATAAGCTGAAATATAAACTTAAATCCAATAAAGAGCAGGACAGAGCTGCTAATGTTAGCTTAAACACTGACACAGTAGCATTCACTACCAGCTACCATGCAGTGGATGTTTCAGTCCTGAACGAGATTCTTTCTAATATAACTCAAAAAATGTTAGCAAAAAAGTTAGCTAATGACATGAGAACTCTGTGCCTTGTGACATATCGCTAGGCTACTATTGTGAGAAGTAAGCTAGTTACCTGGACATGCTAACGTTTGCATCCCAAATTATAGCAGATAAACACACTGTAGCACATTTGTTGCCAGTTCCCTCTCGTGTTTTTGGTTTTTGAAAGGCAAATAACAGACACCACCCTCCCAACTCTTTGGATACTGAATATCTTTTATTTTGCACTCCGCTTCAACATGCCAAAATCCAAAAGCTTGGCAGGCCTGCTGTGCCTAGTGACGAGCTAATATAGGACATTCACTGTTTGGAGGAGGGGTTAAATGAATGGTCAGTTGATCAAGGTCACCAAAGGTCAGGGAAGAAAGTGCTAGAAGCAGTGTGTGGGCGTGAATGCAAACAAACTAAGCCCTTCACTAGTGCCTGTTGGAAGTAGCCTTGCCCTCATCTTCACCAAAAGAAGCGGGGGTCACTTTAAAGCCCTGCTAACTGTCAACCTCTGGACCTCGGCAGTGATTGAATAGAGAGCCACTCCCTCAAACAAATTATAAGCTTCATAAGCCAAGATAAGGTTGAATTAGAGGCCTTTTTCTTCTTCTTGCATCTGAATATTGGCTCTGGAAAAGTCATCAGCAGAACCACATTTGTCGATTTGCTCTGAATTGCAAGGCTTTGGCATTAGACAAGGGTGCACTCTGGTGCCACTGAAGTTTTTAAAATAGAACCAGTGCATCCTCGCTGCAGGCTGTTTACCTCCCGAGGTTAATTGGAACGCATATGAGAGAAGATAAAGCTGCTTTTGTTTGCCCTGGAGTCTTTGCCAAACCTGGGGTCTGTTTGTATCCCAAGGCATGTTTCTTTTGAGATGTGTGTTCTCTTACTTTTCCCTTTTGTGTCTTTATTTCTTTTCTTCTTCCCTTGTCATGAAAAAAGTTTTTGTTCTGCTAAATCTGGAAGTGACGACTTGTCAAACCCTGACCTTGTGCCGTTGTATCCAAAGCAGCTGTGATGTCTGAGAACTGTAGTGTCTGCTTTTCATAAAGGTGGTTGTCTTCTACCTCCCCTACCACCCTAAAGGTTTAAAGGAAAAATATAAAAGCACTTTGCCAAGCCCCTGAGCACAGAAAGTACTAGAGCGACATGCATTGCGTACTGTCCTGTTGAGTTATACCCAGTGCAGAACCAAGCAGCTCACAGCAGGGAGCCCCTGCAGCCAGCAGATCCTACAGCACTGCAGCTGGGAGACAATTAACTGCACTAAGATAATTAAAGGCAATCTTTGGGAATCCATTTCACTGATTGCTCTGGGCCAAAGTAGAAGTTCTGAGTGTTGTGGTAGAGCGCTCAACGATGAATCCCAAAAAGGCTGATAACCACAAAGGCTCTGTATTGACAATAGTGTCCCCAAGGACGGGGCGAATAGAGAAACGTGAATGAACAATGCTGGGTCGATCTGATTGTCTTCTTTACTTTGGTGTGTTCTCGGAGCTGCTGAGAAGAGAGTGTTGCCAAAGCAACAGAGTGCAGACTACCTTGAATACCAGAGCAGAAGTGTGTGTGTGTGTGTGTGTGTGTGTGTGTGTGTGTGTGTGTGTGTGTGTGTGTGTGAGAGTGAGTATACTTCTATAAACTGTAACACATGGAGCACTAATAATGCTGCTGTACACTACAGTGGCATCAAAGCGAAGTTGTCTGTCATGATTCTATAAACTGCCCCATTAAACTGCCCTCCCTGTGGGGCTTTTTCTCTCTCTCCCGCTCTCTCTCCCTCTCTCTCTCTCTCTCTCTCTCTTAGATTAACTGTGTGACGTTCCCGTCTCTTGCATGCATGCCGGAGCAACAGCTGCTGAAGCCAAACGAATGGAGCTACTGTGACTACTTCTGGGTAAATTCATCTCAATGTTTAAGAGGTTGTACATTTGTTGTCTGCTGCCCCATTGCACAAACTGACTGTAATTTATCTGAAGGGGTAGATAAAGTACAATACCGTAACGACAAAAACTTGCAACTCTTCTTCTCAAGCAACTTGACGTCATACACTTACTGCTGGAAGCATAAGATTCCAGTTTTATTAGTTTCTCGGATGATATTAATTTAGGAATTGTCTAAAAAGGTATATATTGTTTTATCTTTCAAAAAGAATCCAAATGATTTTTGACTGTACATCCATTGTTATGGTGCAAACAGGAGCTCCCAGTGTAGTATGAAATGTAGCTTAACTTTTCATTGTTTCAGGTATCTCACAATTTTAACAAATATAAGCTAAAAACACAAATAGTTTCCACAATCTACTACGGTTCTACGTTTTCACTGTGCAGCTAGGCTAGTTGATCAGAAATCTAATCAGAAGTCAATTTTTACATCCCCCTATATATATCCCAATGCAAATCCGCTCCTGTTGTGGCACTCCAACAATGCCACAAAAGTTGACTTTGTGAAATTACCTTGTTTAACTGCCTTGCTCTTGCAGCGAACTGTGCAATACATCTATGGATTTTCACCCACATCCTCCAACACCACCTAACTGAACTCCTGTTTCCAGGATAACTGAAATACTTGCTTGTCCTCATACTCAAAAACTTAACCTGACACGCCTTTTTCTCATGACTGCTCAAAAGTTCTGCACATGTGCATCTCAACAGAGATGAGAAGGAAGCGAGGCTCACTCCTTAGCTACTTCCATCATCAGATGGATCGCCATCAAATAAGTGAATAAAAACTGAGCAGAAGCAGCATTGGGTTTAAAACTACTAAGATTTTTTATGTAAAAAACGTACTGTTTAGTTTATGCCCTGTATTCGCACAAGAGCTCTCCAAACCAAGAGAAAGAGACCTAAACAGAGGAAAGTGGAAGAAGGAAAAAGATCTAGATGAGGCCATTTTTGAAAAAAAGCAATCAAAGAAAGAAACTTGATCCTTTCAAAAAAATGATTGTGCCTCTGTTGACATCACCGCTCTCCCCACTAAATCACTAAATGAACATCCCAGAGAACAAAAACAACACCGGATCCTTTTCATCTTTCACCGTGACTCCATATTTATCTCATACTGGCTGTGCTGCACGCTGGGAATCAGCATTGGCTTTAATAAGATCCACCAGACATTACTGTAGGATAATACATTACATGGAGCTGGCTGGAGCGCCGTGAGCCAGCAGGCCTCTGCTGCAATGTTAGGACATCTTCCGCCCCTGCAGTGTAATCTCTACCAGGTGTGGTGTGTGGAGCTAACACTCTGTAGTCATACACACAGAGGTGACAGTGGAAAGAAAGAATGAGTCGGGAAAGTGGACACCAGAGTCACACATTGGATGAGCTTTGTAATCAGTTTGTTTACATGCACTTAAGTTATACATTTACTGTTGCTTTTCTGCATTTATCAGATTTTTAAAAACATCATCTTAACAAAAAAACAAACATATTTAGCATCAGAGAAATTCGATTGGAATAGCTTTAATTATGAGATTTGAATTCAGGAGATGGGACGGCAGTGCAGAGGGATGCAATTAAAGATCATTACTCGTAACTGAGCATCCTCGCATTCAGTCATTTAAATAAAACTGCTCCTGACAAAAAGTAGTCCTAGGATTCTTCATGAGTCATTTTATAAGTATAATTGAAATGCACTTATATTGTACGGTAAAATTTAAAAGTAGAATAAGTTAATCTTGATCTACCTGGGGGGCAGCAGGACATGTTGAAACCATGACATATATCACCTAATAAAGTTGTTATGGCTAACGTGGCAAAGAATGTTCAGACATTGAGCATTAGCATTCATTTTGCATTGCATTTCTTTTCACTCTCCTTTTGGTTTTTCTCTCCACAAACTCTTGCTCCACCAAATGCTATGTTCACTAACTAGTCGCTAACATTAGTAAATTATTTGCTGGAAGGCAGGTAGTGTAAAGTTGGTTCATCAGAAAAAACACCTTGGTGCTATCTAGCCTACGTTTCCAGTAGTTTTGAGCAGAACCAATGTAATCTAGGATGTGTCATCAACAGAGGGTGCAACATGTAGAATATGCCTGCTTTGGTTCTGAAGGAAAACCTGCAACTTTTTGCTTCCAGCTGGGAACCAATTTTCAGGGGCTCTAAACTTATTTATTTTTGGTCAAAATACTCTGAATGGTCCAAGACTAGGTGCACAAACGACTGAACTAAATCAGTGAAGTTGTGGGCTGATCTGAAAGAAGCTAAAACACTCCATAGAGCTGAATACTAAAATTATATTAAAAATTCTGTGTATGTTTATCACTGCAAGTAAGACATCACATTACACTTACATGGAATGAATGATGCCGATCCTTTAACCAATAAATTAATTGTTTCAATTTGTCAATAATGAATTGTATACAAAGTAATTAATTTTTTTCTTGTTAATACATTATTCACTCAAGCTAACTACACCATATCCATATCAGAGGACTGATTGTCTCTCTGTATTTAAGGGGGCATGCAGAAGGCAACGTGTTTCTTTGAGCTGGAAGGTGTGATGTTCTTATGTTGGTTGCTAAGTGTTTGTTTGTTCAATACGTCTCTCGTGTGCTTGCCGTGTTTACCTCGTAGACTGATAAGAAGGATCCCCAGGGCAACGGCTGCATCACAGGATTTGAGGTTTTGCTGCAGAAACAGCTGAAGGGGAAACAGATGCAGAAAGAGATGGCCGAGTTCATCCGAGAGAGGTATTGGCTTTTTCATCAGCCCATTTGCCCTTTTTGTTTTTTCATCCTCAGGTTACCATGATAACCATACAGTTGTCAACAAACCATTTCCCCTTTTTTGTGCTCATTCATGTACATCACTGTCTTGCACAACGCAGGAAACACACATGAAAAAAGTCATGTTGCGTAAAGACTGTGTGGTAATGAAACTCTCTACTTCCCTCTCAGGATAAAGATAGAAGAGGAGTACGCCAAGAATCTCTCCAAGCTCTCCCAGATCCCTCTAGCAAGCCAGGAAGAAGGGTGAGTGACCTTCCTGCTTGAAGGGTTTTCAGGAGAAAGACAAACCCCCTCTCATCGTAGAGTGGCTTGTTACACACATGGCTGCAACATTAAAAGAAAAAAACATATCTGTCATCACTTGGAAAAGAAGTCTTTCCACTATGCAGCCACTTTGGGGATGAAGAGGCTGTAAATTATGTGTTTTTTTTCTTCCTTCACATTGTATTTTGTAATAATATTAATGTGACACTTATTGCAGCATAGAAGGCACATTTCTTTCCAGTGAGGTCAAAGGTCATGGCCGACAGCCATGAAGCTGGTAGAGAGTCAGTATCAGATGACAATCTGGGAAAATATACAAATGGCTAAATAGAAACATTGCTTTGAGATAATGAGAGTAATGCAATACATGAGTGTGCATATTAGCTGAGTAATCATAAGAGACACTTTATTTGTCATTGTAGGCATACATTAATCACTATAATCAGTTAGTTGACGGACAGAAAATTATTGATTTAGTAATTTATCAAGCATGAATTGATTCCAGCTTCTCCTTATCTGTGTTTCATATTGTTGTAAATGGAATATCTTTGGGTTTTTGATGTTTGGACAAAAAAAGGAACTCAAATATATTTTGCATATGTTATGCTTTTGTGCTCTTGGAACTTCTTCTCATTTTTCAACTTTTTGTGACCTAAACAAAAATCTGAAAACATAGTTGAAAGATTTATCAATTATAGAAACAGTTGACAATGTTAGTTGCCTTCCTAGAGCAAGTATACAACCACAGGTACATTTAAAGTGATGCTGTCTAGTTGTCAAACATTTTGTAACGGTAGCACAACTGGAGGAGAGTCATAAAGTCAGTCAAGTGGCTGAATAATGTCAGTTACACACAAAGTGGGGACAATACAATTACTTGTGAATTTCTGAAGGAAATAAAAGATACTAGGAGATTTTGCTGATGTTCACAACATAGATTTATTTAAAAGAAAATAATCAAGTTAAAAAGGCTCCAGTAAGTCTTGGGGTCAGATGTGCTTTATTATGTCCAGTTGTCCCTTGGGGCCATGTGTCTGCAGAACCTTCACAACTGCTATGAATGGAGCTACTTTGAAAAATGTCGTACTCGGGTTGTTCATCTTGATCTTCATGTTATTGTTAACGTCGTAGCTGGCTGCTGTAATGTTAGGCTAGCTGTAGCTTGTGCTTTTTTGATGCTACATCAACAAGCTCTTTGGTTACTATGAGCAGTAGCTTGATTAGGCTCCCAGTCTGCATTAATCACTGGTTTTGTAGAATTTAAAACTTTACTGTGTCTTTGTCTGACTCTGTTCATGTTCTCTTTGTGTTGGGCAAACATTAGTGCAATGTTACTAACAGAGAAAAACAGGCAGTCAAGAGCACAAACAGATAAACTAACTTGTGCCATGTAGTGTCGGGGGTGTTTCCAGGCTTTTTTGACTGGGGTGGCACAAGAGGGGCACTGAAATATGCAGGGCTAGCATGAAGTGTGTGTCTCAGCTTTCCATTCATTCCCAATTTATGCAATTCCAACACTGTTTAGGCACCCCAGTACGCTGAAATATTCAAATACAGCAGGCAAAAATATCACATTTATACCACATGCAAAAAACTGCATGATTTCAGCCTAAAAACTGCATAGGATTAGCATAATATCTGCAAAGGGGAGATTCATGGGTACCAATACAACCCATTTTCATTTGGAGGTCAGAGAGAAAATGGCCATGCCAGGTTTTTCATCTCGTAACCCCAGGCCCCCCCTCTGGAAACGCCCCTTGGTAGTGTGCCTGGGTGATAAATTCTAGTTAGGACTACCCTGAATTGCATATAGAACCTGATTTGGAGAAGGCTGGTATTAATAAAGAGTTTGCTAACATTGTGTGTGTAACATTGAGTGTAACAACGTGCACTTGAGTGTGTTCTATCATGAATTCAACTTTTAATTTCTTAAAATTTCTTATTTTGTCCTTTCGAAGTTACATAATCTAGCTTCATAGTCTGTTCTGAGTGATCCTGGTTGGTGTAAATAAACACTAATGTCGAATTAGTCGGCCAATTAGCCAGTCGGGCAGACAGCTCCTCGGTGAGCTCGCCAGTCAACTAGCCAACCAGGCGAGACATCCTGGTGTGAGTCTGGGTCTGGAGTCCCTGTCAGTGATGCTGTGAAACAGTATGGCCTTCCTGTAAATCACTAGATGCTTTGATCTCTGTCCTGCAGCATACTTCAGCTATTAAGCGAGAGCAGAGGAGCGGAGGGGAGGGAGGAGAGGAGGTACAGAAGTAAAGGAAGTGGGGGCTGAGAGTGAGGATGAGGGCAATGAGATTTGTGGAGGCAGACTTTTAGTTGTGTGTGTTGGGGGTTGTAGGGGTAAAGGGAGTGAAGGGAAACCCTGCAGGGAGAAAATAGTTTGCAGCCACTCCTCTTTTCTCCAGTTTGACAGCAGAGGGAATATCATGCTGAGGGCAGGCCTTTGTCTGATTCTCCGAGGGGACACAGGAACATGGAAAGTAAACTGAGCGGAAACTGAGAGGGGCACGGCCTGCTAAAGACACCCACAAAGAGAAGAAGCTGTGATTTGTACGGACGCCGCCTACGGCATCGTTATTAAACTCATCTTTATTAAGAGATTCCACAAGGAAGCATTGACAGTGCATAGCAACTTGACAAAATGTCACTCCAGCATCACGAGCTCTATCATAGCTTTGAAAAAGAACAGTTTCAAGAGGCCAAGTGATATATTGAAGGCATAATGAATCCTAGACTCCTAAAAAAAGAGTATAGACTCATACAAAAATAGTCCTTCTCAATCATCCAGGAACAGGACTCCTTCCTGCAGGGTTGTGTGGAGGTGTGGGTGTTTTTATTTATGCTTTAGAACGTAACCGCTGTGGAACAATCAAAAAAATAATGTTTAATTTCTTTAATTCAGCGGTTTGATCTCGCTAACGTTGCTCCCTCTCTTCATTCACTCTCTCGCTTGCTGGACCGCTCCTCTCGCTCTCTCTCTTTTGCTCATTGAGCTGAGGAGGAGGGGCTGACTTTGAATGGTGTGTTCACAAACAGAAACCGACAAATCAAACTGATTATGCCTCTAAACTTACCTGCCAATCATTTTTAAATTAAGTTGAGTCCGAATAAACAGAAATCATGCAGTTTGGAGCGAGTGGGAAGTGCCTTACCAAACGGAATTTTTGCCACATTGTGCCAAATGTAGTTTGGTGGTACTTAACATAAGTCTTGCCAGGTCGATTGATAATCTACACATATTAAATCCAAGTTAAAATGTGATGTTAGTTGCTTAATCATTGCTGTCACTATTCATAATTTTACAAGCTAACTGAATATATTGCAACAGCTTGTTGGTGTGGTGAAAACTGCTTTTATTTAATGATTTGTAAATTTCCACTTAGTAAAAACATAATGTTAAGTGTTCTGAGATGCAAGACTAGCCTATATGACTTTTGAAAAGGAGATAACAAATGTAAAAGTGGATTTAGGAGCAATAAAACACATGGTCTGGTATGACCAGGTGCTTATTATGGCTAATGATACCTTTCTAACTCTTAACTAGGCTACTGTGGTGATACATTCTGAATCCAGCAAAAGTTACATCGGCTCCCTTTAACCTCATAGAAATGATTAGTGTGTACACTTTATTTCACATTATAAACATTAATATCCGACCGAGAAAGTGGGCAAACTCTGTGGGGCTAATGAGTCAGCTGGAAAAGAGGGTTTAGCTGGGCTTAGCCTCCCCTGCACTGTTTACATGCATATAAGATAACCCCTCTTCATATTAGCATGGTAATAGAGGGTAGAGTGGGATGGAATTGTCCCATATAGAATCCAGATTATGCCAGCCAGCTCAGGCTGCCCACACCCAGAAAAGTGCAACACAATACTTTCATTATTCTCTCCCTCAGGCCAGCTCTGTTGTCAGTCAGGACAATCGCTGTTTTGTTGGTCAGTTCCTACTGTCCGACCGGCCGCAGCCCAGAACCAGCCGTCTATTTATTCCTGAATTTACCATTTGTTTGGTAGCGATGTGCCCGTGAAGCGTGTGACCACTTTATATTGCTACCAATCGTGCACTGTATCAGTTCTGTTGAATGGTCGGAGTACGTGGCAGGAGACTCGTTTTCCCTGAGATACAGTATTTTGTTGGCAAGTGATTGTCTGTCACTGGGGACTGTAAGAGTGTAGTGACATGCCAGACGTGATTTGCTGAGATTGAAAAGCATTTGGAGTGGTGCAACTTTTGCAGCTTGAAAAGATGGGGATATTATAAACGAAAGGCTATCTTTCCTCCAGGTCATGTTCTTAAGGTGGTGGGTAACACCATGAAATGCTAGCAAGTAAACATGGATGTAAACAATGCAGGTTTCAAAGTTTAAAGAAAAAGTTGCATAGAAAACAGGAAGGAACATGTTCTTGTGAGTAACACTGGATATAAACAGAAACTCAGTTTGATGTCTAAGTTTCTGTAGATGGTGCTGTTATTTGTTCTGCATGGTGTTTTTTTCTATTCACAACTCTCTTCATTACCACCAAACCACTGTGGCTCCTTCTTAAAATAAAACCATGTGACTTCACACCACATCAGCTTTCATTCTGACATGACTCTGATATGAGTCTCTCATCTGACTGTCCTTACTGTGCTATGTAAGCACATTGACATCTATGGAGTCACAAAAGGATCTAAAATATCTTCAGCTTATAGTATGCTCAGAAACATTTCCCAGCTTGTACATCAGTTATCTGAGACTGTAGAAAAAGGTGGAACTATGTGTGAATGTGCACAGAAAGAGTTGAGATTTTAAAGTTTGTGAATGTGTTAAGAATATCTAACGCATATGTAAAAAAAAAAAAACAATTTCAACAGCTGGCTCACTGTTGACACACACTCAGTTTAGATACAAAGCAGGAAACTGTAATTGAACATGCAGTGAACACTGATGTACGTGTGTGACTCTGAATTTGACCCATTTTTGATGCCGTAGAGTTGCAGGTGCTAGACTTTACTCTGACGGTGTCGGGAATGTTGTGGATGTCAGTCTGAGGGAATTCCACACATGTCTTCCATTCAGAGCAACGCTTTGAAGTAACCCGCTTACCCATAAAGACCGTCAGTCCTGGACCCACAGCCTTGTGGCTCTGACTGGCTGCCTGCTGGATGATTGTTTAACAGTCCTAAGCTAGAAGAAATATGAGGAGGCTGTCTGCCTCACTCCATTTTCTGCCAGAGCTAATTATGAATCACTCACTTTCTTTAAATCAAAACAAATGTGTGGCCCATTAAAAAAGACAAGGGGTGTGTAATTATTACGTAATGTGCATCGGCTAACTTCATTTTAATGCTTACAAAACAATACATGCCTTCACGGTGTTATTGCCCCCAGCTGTGTTGGAAAGCTGAGAGAATAAGCCGGGCCATATCTCATGTCCCATACATCCTAATCATCTGCTGAACTGGCTGTGGACCTCAGCTCAGCTCTCTAGATTTACTGGTTACTTGTGTATCCATGAACTTTTGCACTGGCTCTGCTGCTGAACCCCATCTGTGTGTGTGATAGGATTCACACTGCCCCCCACCCCCCCTTTCCCCAACACTTTCTGCCCTCCCTGTATGTCTTCATGTAAAAGAGTGTGTGGTCCTTTCTTGTGTAAGATATTAAACACACACACACTCTCCCTCACCCTCCTTCTTATCTGTTCTCAGGACTCTGGGGGAGGCTTGGGCCCAGCTGAAGAAGAGCCTGGCAGACGAAGCTGAGGTTCACCTAAAGTTCTCCTCAAAGGTAATTCATCACGGCCCCCTACCCCTTTAATGAGCCACCTGCTTGATGCCCAAACCTAAAGTTATATTGATGCATATGTGCGGATGCAAACAGCGTATGTACCGTGTGTAGGTCGGGTCTACATGGTGCGAGGGCTGATGCGTACCATCCACTGCAGTTAGCTGGCAGTAGACAGTCTTCCCTGTTACACTGAATTCTTTGAATCTCAGATTTGTCCCTAGATAGAACTAGCAACGCCCAAGTACAGACTGACAGTGGTAGCACGTACCAGCTAACGTAGATAACTGGATAGCCAACCTCAAAGTTGGGGTTAGCGATTCTGGGTAAAGCGATCCAAATGAAATATTTCAAATTCAGCAATTATCTCCTCATGGTCTGCTAGCTAGTCCTGGCTCTTACAAAGTGAATTGGACCAAGCCACACAATACGAAGTAGTTAGGTAACGTTCAATGACTTGCCATTAAAGATATGCTGTTGTTGTGATGTTCGCTAAAGTAACGGGAGAGTAATGACTTTCACTCTAGCTTGCTAACTCACAACCTAGCTAACTTCAGTTACATTACTTGCTGTAATGTAACTAAAGTTGTGCTATATCATGGTATTTGTTTGGATTTGGGCTGGATTTCCTTTACCTTTCACTTTAGCTGACAGCTACAATAACGTAATGGTACTGCAACAGAGTAAAGTCATTTGTAACTACTCTTCATGAATGGTTCAAAGGCTACAACAGCTCGCTAGCTAGCTAATAATGTTTATTATCTGTCAGACTTTTGTAGACAATCTGTCACTCTTTAAAACAACAAATTTTGTCTTGGTTTTCTCCTCATACAAATGCAAATGCCCTTCAAACTACAAGAAGATTTGGAATATTATTGCTACTGTGCTAAATCAAATGCACATGTGTCAGAGTTTCACAAATCTAGGGTTACCATCTAGATATGTGTGTGGAGTGTGTGTTACATTGTGACCTATAATTAAAATTGCAGAAAAATCTCAAACTTACCTATACAAAATGTGACAATGTGTCATATTTGAAAAGGTTTTAGAGTACAGATCTGATTAGCAGTACACAGTGAACTGTACTGTTGTACAGTATGTGATTCCTTATTGACTGTGGGCTCTGCAGCCTACAGCATGTGACTCATGAGGCAAATGTAATTACATACAGTAAAGGGCTTCCTGATGGCTCTGTGGGCTGAAGCACATACATATGACACTTGGGCTTTGACTCTACATTCATCACCCGCCATGTTTTCAGTCTAGTCGTGACTTACTCTCAATGTGGAACACTGTAGGTTCGATCTCAGTCAAAGAACTACCACTGTCATCCGGGGGAATTGCTCTTAATTTTAGGGTTGTGAAGTGCTAGATGGGTTTGTCTTGTCTGAGTTACGAGAGGGAAGACGAAAGATAGGGCCCGGGATTACAGCTGGACTGGTGGAGGAAATGGAGGCGGTGATGTTATCCTCCAGAGATGCACAGATGTGCGGCACAGTTCCAGATTCTTGAAGGAGAAGGAAGGATTTGAGTGGAAATGAACTTTGAATGATGGTTTCCAACGTGACTGCAGGAGGGAGCTGCAGATCTCATTCATCACTGACGGCTGGGGCAGAACAACTGCATTACTTATTAGGATCAAATAACCAGTGACGGGCTTGCTACTCACAAGCTACTCATTTCAAAAATAATATTACCATGTCACATTGTTGGAGCAGTAAGTTTTCATACTGCGAATCATTTACCTTTAGAAATCTGGAAAAAGCTCAAAAGGAAGCTAAGCAGTGTTGGTACCTAATGTTCTGGTTGTTGTTTGGCTCCGAATATCAAACCATTTTTGTCTAAACTAGCTCCATGTGAGAGGGTGATGACATAAGACAGGGAATGGAGCTAATTATGTTTTTTGATAATTAAATCAGATGCATAGAGGGGGGGATTAAAGTGATTTCCCTTTTTGATTGATAACTTTATCGTTACTGAGATTTAAATAGTATCATTAGTTTCACGACTTGCTGCTGGGAAAAGAAGGCGTTTTACTTCTACACCACTTTATATGCATGAAGAGTTACTGTATCTGCATGTGGATTTATATTGTCATTCAGCGCTTTAAGCTGCCTGAGATTTGTTATTTTCACTTATCTGGAATCTGAAAGTAATCAAAAGTCGGGCATGCTTTTGGGCAGTGAACGCAGTACGTCACTACTGAGTGACAACAAGTTGAAATTCAGCTGTATGCTATACCCAAGAAGAAGAATACAATAGAACTGAGTGGATTAGTTTTCATTCTTTTCTATATTTTCCTGTTGCAAACTGTCCTCACATGACACCGTTCAACTGAATGTGATTGGCTGAGGGATTGAAATACAGCTCTGGCCTACTTTATCTCAGCGTCACTGTGAGCCTGTCAAGCTCATACTGACAGTGTTTTTTGCTACAAAATGTAAAACTTTGGTCCACATTTGCCAACTGCAGACTTCAGTCTTGAGGACACATAGCCCACAAGCCAATGAGAAGAGAGTAGACTGTCCAGTCTGCAGAGGGAAGCATGGATGTATTAAAAGAACTTGAACATTGGCTTGTTGCATGAGGTGATACTGCCGTGGTCACTGAAGTTACAGTAGCTAATGTTAGCATTTTAACATGAGCAGGATGAAAAAACAAGTGAGTGATGCCAAAAATAATATTTATATAAATAACTGTATATATCATATTATTTTTTCCATTTATTAGATCTATTTATTTAGTTATTTTTTTTATGTTATTCTGTGAATTTGATATTATTATAATCTATGTGTGTAGCAAGAAGGAACTACAAACCTTAATTTCGTTATACATAAATAGATAGATAAATAATAGATAAACACATTTACTGGACCCTTGATCCATAAGTGCTAACATAACTCGTCAGCATACCTTGTTGCATTGTTCTATTTCAGTGTGCAGAATTTGTAGTTTCTTCACACCTAGCAAACTAACTAACCACAAAAACTAATTTAGCTAGCTTTTAGATGACAGGTCCTGAACATAACAACTCTCTGGATGTTGTTAAACCTTCTTAATAAAGTTCTTGGGAGGAAAGTTCCCAGTCAAGGAGAACCTTTGTTTTTTACATTGGCTTGCAGGCCTGAGGTCCCCAGGAGGGAGGTCTCCAGTTATTAAACTTAAAAAACCTAAATTATCTTCTGCTGGTCTGTATTGAATCATTTGTTGTTTTTGGTTTGAGCAGCTCCAGAGTGAAGTGGAGAAGCCTTTTCTGACCTTCAGGGAGAACTTTAAGAAGGACATGAAGAGGTTCGACCATCACATCGCCGACCTACGGAAGCAGCTGGTTGGTCGCTATGCAGCGGTGGAGAAGGTATACACAAACACGTACAGATATAAGACAAAGCACAGCAGCTCTGATGTGACACAGCCCTGCTCTTCTACTTGGCAGCAGCAGAATTTCAGGAACAATCTTGCTGGTGATTAAAATTCCACATCTCTTCCATAAGTGGACGGCTGTTTCCCGTCCCTGGAATGTTTCCTGCTTTTTGTATATGTACAATGAAAAGCAGTCGGCTGAAGCCTGAAGGCAACTGCAAATCTGTCTCCTATCATCTGTCGTCTGAGCAGCTTTTGCTCAGAGGAGGGACTCTGATAAAGTCATCTGATGGACAATTGAGCATTCAAAAGTAGACAGTAAATAAGATACTGGCCATGTTGGCCGTCATAAGGCAGCTCTAACACTGGATGATGAATGAATACTGAGAGTGTGTGATGAATGGAAGCAGACTGTAGCATTATAATAGCTGCAAACTTTGTCACTTTTATTAGAATGAGGTTTTTTTCCAGAACATTACACATTTTTGTTTGCTGCCTGAAAATCCTTTAAGAAATGTAAAAGTAGTGCAATAGAAGGGGGTCGTGCTTCAGGATAAAAAGTTTTCTGTGCATGCTGCTGTGAGATCTGAGCCTGTCTCTGACTTCAGTCCCTTATCTCCGGCAGGCTCGTAAAGCTCTGGCCGACAGACAGAAAGAGCTGGAGTTGAAGACTCAGCAGCTGGAGATCAAACTCAGCAACAAGATTGAGGAAGACATCAAGAAGGCCCGCAGGAAATCTACACAAGCAGGTCAGAGCCAGGGGTCAAAGATCAAACCGTAGGGTCACTGTGGGGTCACGGTCTCACTCAGGTGTTTGTTGTTTAAGACAGGAGGGAGCACTGCCCAGCAAGCTCTCATGTGTCTGTGAGCGTAAAACATATGGTGCGACCAAAAATGAATGTTGAGTACTGATACGGATCAGTTTCATCTGAGCTGCTTGTAATTTCTATTATTATGTTTATCTTAAATTATCAAAGCTAGACAAAACATTTCTTTCAGGTGTTTTCCCAGATTCTTCTGTACAGTCACCTGAAAATAAGAATCATTGTGTTTTTATTACTTTAGAATGAGCAGTTTTTATCTACAGCGGGTCCTCTTCTACGGCTGCCATTGTAGATTCTCTGGTAAGGCAAGCAGTATTCAGTTGGTAGCAATATACAACCTCACCTATAGATGCCACCCTTTAAGGTTACATTGATTATTTACGCCCCACAATATGCAATTTAGTTGTTTTTTTTAACTGATGATGGCACTACACAAATGGGGTTTACTAAAATCATTGGGAATCAACCTCTGGGGACCAGGAATTTCATGGCAGTCTGGGTCAGACATTGTCAAGATATGTCCAAAGAGTCAGACAGACCATTGTTTGTGGCCTCTAAAGAAAATAGAGTTTTGGAGACAACAGCACTCTGTATAGCAGATATGTGGATCTGGATTTCATCATTCGACCTATAAAAGTCCCTCTCCACCAGATGTAGGATTCTCCCTTATCAGAGTTCATCTCAGGATGCTCAGCAGTGGTTTGTGTCAGTGCTGCGCTCAGTACAGCCACAAATCACCCACAGCAGAACTCATACAGTTTAATAAATGGTTAACATGCTGGACTTGATTCTTCCTCCTCCTCCAGTGTTTCTCTAGCACTTCATCGGAACGGTCACTTGAGATCGGCTGTGAACCGAGATGCTGTGTTTGTCTTTTTACATGAGTCATGAGCTTTATCAGCACTTCGAGCCAGACTGGGAGTTTTTTTTTTAATGGAGGGATGGGAGAGGAGGGACGAAGGGGAGTTCAGAAGCATTCTCCGCTTGACTAGTCTGAGTTCACACCAGACTGACAGAGAGGCGTGGGCGCGGACTAACTACACAGTCCTTGGAGGTGTGCATCCATGTGCATTAATAATCTGAATGCAGAAAATGTCCATCCCAGAAACTCATTTCATCTATGTATTGTGCTGTGTTTAAAGACTTCTTGAGTAATTGTAAATGAATGAGAGGGCTGTTAGTTAGTCTCAACGCAGCCTTACTTGCTCTGGTGGGACCAGTAGCTTGTGGTGGCTAATGTTAGCAGACTTTACCAGACATGGTTGTGTAACTAATAGTATTGAGTCAGTGTGCTGACTGTATGGCTCCTCTCTGCTAGTGCTACTGTCACAATACACTTTAGTATTTAGCATTATCTTGTAATGGTCACTTGTGGTCACAGTGGCTGCTGGTACATAGGCTCAGGGCTGGGAGATAGAGCCAATGTAAACAGGATTGGAATATGTCCTTAATAAGAATTAGAACATATTATTTACTATTGATAAGTTAGATTGTTTAACAATGTACTAATAACCAATCACATTACAGGAACAAAGCATCCTCTAACCTTTCACAGAGATTAAACAGATTGTTTTCAGAATGGACAGAAGAGTGCTAGGTACATATGCTATTCTTTGGCATCAAATGTCACATAAATAGATGCTCACTGATCACAACAACCTACAGCAGAGACAACTGTGATGGATAAACATGGTGACAAAATCTGTGGCGTGGCAATACTTACACAACTTAAAGGTTACTTAAAGCCTGACACAAGACAGACTGGTGTATGACAGGTTAAAACCAAAAACTTGTGCCAAAATCCTGTGCCAGCAGAGAGATACTACAGTAAGTTTATCACCTGAATCATCATCATTCAGTATGAAAGGTCAGAAAGACGTTCACGCGTCTAAAGATTTCAAAGATGCCTTGTGCTTATGTTTTTCTGGGCTGTGCTGCTGTAACTGTGAGCCAAACAGCTGATCTGCAGCGTAATATAGTCAGGCTTATGCATAGGAATATGGAAGTTCTGCGGTTAGTGCCAAAGAAAAAGGCTGTGAGATAAAGCAGTGAAAATATTCTAAATATAGCAGATATTGATTTTTTTTTTTAGGTGGGCCTTTCTTATATGGCTAAAATAAGTTTTTCTTCTGCCCCATGAGCATGAGCAGCAGCCGGGCTGGTTTTAATAGGTGTGCGACCTGAGGAAAGCGACTGGCTAAGAGTAAACAGATGTAGACTTTCCGCCGGAGTGTGATGTCATGACTCAACCAGGCACGACCACATGCTGTCACACACAAGTACGAATCCTCCATCCAAACCGGCTCTCTTCACACACTCACAGAGTCATCCCTCCTCCGTGCAGCTTATGCAACCAGGGAGAAAAACAGCAGCAGTTGTTGACGGTGCTCATGGCGTCTGGCTGCCAGTGATGATGACTGCAGTGTGAGGGAAGCAGAGAGGTGACTGATGCCAAAACAACTAAAGAACGGCATCTGTCTGCTCATAACAAAGACTCATTATCGCTTCACGCTCTCGCTGCGTTGGATTACACACAGCATTTGCTCATTTATGTCTCCATATAGCGGGGCTTTTCCAACGTCTTTAAATCAACTACCTGAGGCCATGATCACCCTTTTATGGAACTTATAACTTTTGGTTTTTATTTTGATAGACCAGAATGTATTGCTATTTAGTTGTAGGGCTGATCTGATGGCCTTATCTGTAGCATAAACAGCAGCTCTTGTGCATTTCTTTCCCATTTGCCTTCATTTTCTATTTATAGAAGCATATTCTGAGCTTACCTGCAGAGCCTGTTTACTGTAAACTGTGCTGCAGCAGCAAACAGTACAGCTTTATGATGTGCTAGAACATACAGTCCACATTAAGATACATTTAGACTCCTTTTAATCAGAATCAGTCAGTCAGTGTCCACATACAAGGAATATGACTCCAGTTTTAAGTTGCTCTCAGTGTACTCGGACACAGCTCTAAGAACAATTTACAGGAAAACAGCCAACCAAGTTAGCTGGTGAACATAGTGGAGCATTTAGCAGTTAAAGACAGATGTTGGAAACCGACTCAGAGCTAAGAGGAGTGAGAATATTGCACTTCTGGTTTAATGAACAACGTTTTGCTAACCGGTTTGCCATTCTCTGTAAACGCTGTGTTATCGGCTTAATACCACTGCGCCCCAAGGGTCCAACAAACAAGTTTAAGATGAAATAAAATGTGGAAAAGCTTGATGTTAAGGGGTTAAATATGTAGGTATTTTACAGTAAAAACAGCAAACTATGTAGGCTTGTAACCGTTCAGCCTGACACGTTTCAGTCAAACACCATTTTCAGTCGACACAGACGGTTTAGTAGCACTTGCTAAGGTTAGTTAGCTTGATGTTTTCTGTGAAGAGCAAAGAAATAAGCCGATATAAGAGTTATTTCTTAAGTCATCCATCTAATTCACACTTTATATTATATACTTTAATTATATTTGTGGCCTTTTGACAGTTGCTCTTTCTCACAGATGTAGCTAGGTCGCTAACTAGCTACATGAGAAGATGATGTTTTTCTTCTTAATCTTGCACATAAAGCTCTGATCAGTTGACTGTTTTTCCAACTGGGGCGCACACACACACACACACACACACATGCACACACACACACACACACACACACACACACACACACACACACACACAGGTATAATAAAGTGCCGCAGGAATGAATCCTAAAAGCTTTTGAGCACCTCCGGTATCCCTCGCCTTAAAGTAATTGGGTTTTAGTATGGGTTTTGGTTAGATACCTGAAATAATGTCTTCGGTAGAGATTTTCACGTTTTGTTCTGTGATGTAAAAGACGTCAGTAGGCTTTTATGTGTCTTAAAACAGGCGGTTGCTAACTAAGTAGCTAAAATGAGACTACAGAGGTTGTGGGTGACATTAAATGGCTGCACATCGAGACTCATCTACTCACTCGTCCGCCTTTACAGACCTCGTTGACGCTCACGCTCTTGCAGACTATTCTAACTCAAACTTTCCAACTTGTAGATTTTAATTACAAGATTAGAAAGTTTAGTGGTGATGGTATTCAAGTCATACAGCTGGTGTAGTTAGTTTATAGTCGTTTTATTGCTTTTTACTTCTGCTGATCACATTTAGGCTTCACAAATTATTAAAGCGGTGTTCATTTGTAAAGATTATGTTGCTGAAAAATCTAATCATAAACCTTTTCTGCGACATAGCTTGTTTACTGCAATAAACTTCAAAATCCAGAGAAAAATTCCTATTGGCTTTCTGTCAAAGGAACCAGGACGATGCTAACTTTTCGAGTTGGCCTTCAACACGTCATCCCTGCAGCACAGCCTAAATTAAATTTCTGAACAAATCAGAGTTGTGTGGGATGATTGAGAGGACGGGACCCAGGCTATAAACTTGCTCATTTACCATTAGACATGACTTGGCAGAAAATGACTTACCTGTGTGTACTGTTGGTGGCAGGGAACAGTGAAACCTGAGATCATAACAGTAACCTTTCTGTGGACCTGTTGGAACCCTCTTATTTAATGTTAATATAAAGTAGCAGGTATACCAGCAGACATTTACTGTAGAAGATGGAGAGTCATCTGCTGATGACCAGAATGATCAGCATCATTTCCTGATTTAATCTCACAGCTGATTACTGTTTGTTGTTGTCAGCAGGATGCAGGCTGTAGCATTAATGAAAGGACAGATTAGACCTTTCCCTTTATCACTGCTCACGGTATCATAATGAAATCCATTATCAGTCAGACTGTCTGCACTGTTGGGGATAATCATATCAGCTGAGTGAGCTGGAACAAATACTGTACATGTGTTGTGGTGACACAGCGGCTGTGTGTGTGTGTGTGTGTGTGTGTGTGTGTGTGTGTGTGTGTGTGTGTGTGTGTGTGTGTGAACAGTTGGGTAGTAGCATCACCTAGTGGACAAATTGTGGACTACACATTTTAATATACAGTATTATAGAGAAACAAAGTTAGAGAGACATTTTGGTCAGGTCTGTTGGAGTCCTGTATGTACATGTATTTCCACTTAATTTAAATCTGATTTCTTTATTCAGGAGACGATCTGATGCGCTGTGTGGACCTTTATAACCAGTCTCAGTCCAAATGGTTTGAGGAGATGGTCACCACAAGTCTGGTAAGGAATCATAATTTTGTGTGTCCAGACTTAGAGTTTAAATTACCAAAACTCTTAACACAAAATGCAAAGTACAAAAACTGTGTTACCTTTAATGGAAGGCACAGAGCATGACATGTATACTGTATAATGAAACTAAAATAAATTAGAAATATGAAAATAAAAAAGGGTAAAAGGCAAAAATTAAATGTAAAGTCACTTTAAAATAAAATATAACAGTTAGTGATACAATATACCTTATATTAACTACTATATATTAATTTTCAGTATATATTCCCAAAAGCAAAGCATCAGGGCCCCCTCTGAATTTTTACATTCATTTCAAAGACGAAGTCATTTCGTCTTTTCAACTTCTTTCATTTCAAAGAAGTCTGTTTCATGTCTAGACCCTGCAGTGCTGATTCTTACACAAGTCCCTGTTACACTGTAGAGCTGCTGCTGTTCCGGCTCAGTATAGACAGATTGAGGAGTAGAGGTTTCTCTGTGACTCATGCTTTACAAATTGCTCCTCTCCTCAGGAACTGGAGCGGCTGGAGCTGGAGCGGGTGGAGATGATCAGACAGCATCTGTGTCAGTACACCACCCTTCGGCACGAGACGGACATGTTCAACCAAAGTGTGAGTACAACCTCCGCTCACGGTTAAAACTAACAGCTGCTCTTTCTTGAGTGACAGAGGCTGTCACTCTGAGTGTCTGAAAAGCAATGCATATGTGGTTCATTTGAACACAACCCACGTCGCCATGTTGGACTGACAGCAATGTACTGCAGACATCTAGGGTCCTAAGAGGTCTAGTCAAAACAAATGTTAATAAAGAACTTTTATTTCTAAGTTTGCAAGAAGAAGTAAAAGTCAAGGAACATTTCTTTGACCAAGTACAGACCTTGGCCTAACTAAAAGTATAGCTAGGCATTAAGGTGAGACTTTATTGATCCCAGAGGAAAGAACAGGTTGTTAAAAGCAACCAAATTACCCTCACGGTACAATTTTAAATGTAATCAATCCCATCATTACTCCACCTACACCAGAAGAGGGAGCCACTCTACAAGCCCTCAGAGCAATGGAAACATTAGGTATCACCTGAGGCAAGCAAAGACATTTATTGTGACGCTTCAACTGACTGCTGTTCTCTCTCTGTCCAGACGATGGAGCCGGTGGACCAGCTCCTGCAGTGCGTGGACCCGGCCAAAGACAGAGAGCTGTGGGTGCGGGAGAACAAGACTGGAGAGATCAGGCCAGTGGACATAGAGATCTGATCTCAGTGCTGTCCGACCGCTCTGCATATGCACACTTTTACACTCAGACGCTGACTCAGAGGCTCCACGCCTGAGGACTGACTGGGAGATGAAATCTGTGCTGGGATCTTCACTCCCCCCCGATCCACTTGTGACTCACACAGACTGATCAGTCAGCACTCGCTGGCTCTTCACATCCCAACAGCAGCCTACTGAGGATGATTTCAGCATTTGGGGAGTTTTGTGTGAAGCCTAAGCGACGAATAAAGATGTCAGATAGTGACAGGTCGTAGTTTTCTGTTATGCAAGCTGTTGCCGAGCTGAGGTGGCACAGGAAGATGGAAGCTGTGAGTGTGAATTATGAAGCGAATGATCAAGAAGCACCAACTACGAACATTTCACACGTGTAAATGTTGAATAGCTTTATGTGATGCAGCAGTGTATTGCTGCTCTGTGTATGTGCTTTTGCTCTGTGAGGTAATTCTCTGACTCACCTGTGTGCTGATACACACGTGACTTCAGAACTTAAAGTTGTTGGCAAAAATGATGTAACAGATGCTGCTAAGCAAGATGCATTCTGACCTAAGAGTGTTATATTACAGTGTACCAGAAAGTATTTTAATACTAATATCCATCATCTGCAGCTATTGACGGTTTGCTGAACCCCACCCACATTTGTTACTGTTGCTACACTCTTCAAACAGTTTACAAAAACAACAAAAACAGCTTCTAATTTCTGGATTTTGTTGGCTTAATTGATGACTGTCGCTGGCAGACTTTATTGGCTGTAATTAGCTAGAGTACAATAATGCTAATGCTAAAAGTCTTAATGAACCAGTGTGTAAGGTTTAGTGGCATCTTGCAAAGTTGCAGATTGCACGTACTGAATACTGCTCGCCTTTTCAAGTGTATAGGGGAAACTGCAGGGGCAGTGAGACAGTGCAAAGGCCCTATCTAGAGCCAGTTTGGTTTGTCTGTTGTAGGCTACTGTAGAAACATGATAGTTCAGCATAGTAGAACAGGACCCACTCCCTCTGTAGATAAACAGTTCATTGTAAGGTAACAGAAACACTTCTTATTTTCATACACTGAAAACATACCTATAGATATTATATTCCATTTCTGCCAGTAGAGCCTGCTAAATGTTACACACTGGACCTTTACATATGCACATAATGACTACATACATTATGTTAAAAGAGGCTGAAGCTGACAGGTCTTGAAAAAAGACACCACCTTCCAAACTATTTAAATATCTCTCTTATTAGAGCCCCCAAAACACATGTCCAAACACATGTACACATGTACAAATCCAAAGCTTTACAAGCTACGGTTGCTAAGCTATGATTGTCACATATACTGTCCGGGGTCGGGGTCTAGCTGAAGATCAATTCCTGGGGACGTAAATCACAAATCTTCACATCTCTGAAAAATATCTGGAATCTAAAACTGGAGAACACTCACTTATTCCCGCCTGTGTTTTACTTCATTCCTAATAAGAATTAAAAATCAGCCAATTGCACTTTATACCCAAATGATTTTTAATAAATAAACTGTAAGTTGCTGTTCCTATGAAAGTTAAGAGAACTTAATTGTTACACATTGTATTACTGAAGTTGGGAGTGTTGTGGTGATGTTCACAGGGAGCCTGGTGTAAATATGTGGGATGTGTAATTTGCAATGAAAGGAAGCAGTTGAGTGAAGGATGTAAAATACAGTAAATAGTAGAATCTTACTCAGACATATGATATCAAGAAATTTGGTACTGATAATATATGATACGTGCAAAGTGTTTTATATGCAATAGAAATAACAGTCCTCTGAAATATTCTACAGTTTTGGAAATAAGTCAGTTGCTTCAGTTGGATTCAGCCTGCAGAAGCTAAATGTTGTACAAAACGCTCTTTTACCACCGTGTCTTGTCCAGGATTACTGCTTAGTATTACTTGACTATTGAAAGAAGAGGATTGAGATGCTTTTGTACATTAACAGCTAAAGGTTGGCAATTTTCATTAATAAAATGAAAATGTGTATCTTATGTCATAACATGTTCCTCTCTGGTTTGTTTTTTCTATGAACACAACATTTAAAAAAGCAGGGGAAAAACATGTACTAATGAAAAAAGTCTTTTATTTCCTAAAAAACACTTTCACATTCAACAATAAAATGGTTTGGCCAAGCCTTGTTACAGGTTCAGGCAGTGATAATAAAGATGTGGTTAAAAGTTCAGACAGAGATACACTTTATCAGATAGTTCACATAAAAGACATTGCATTTCTTATTGTTGACCTAAAATAACCCATGTATTTATGGCACTTTGTTGCATATCTTACTTGGTAACACTTTATAATAAAGGTTGGATTTAATACATTTATAAGCCATTAGTTACTGATGAACTAATCATTTTATATATTTATATATGTGAATTATTAGCTCATATGCAATATATTGTGACACAGCACAATGCTGAAAGTTTGACCAGTTAAAACTGGTTTGAACCAGCGGACTGTATTAATCTACAGGGTTTCACATATTCTGCTCACATGTAGGAAATACTGGCTACACACAGTATTCAGTACATGGAAATGTAGCTTATAGCTTTAAGTGTGTTAAATTGTGTTCGGAATATCACTGTTAGGAATCAACAAAAGCTAACTTGTTAACCCAGACTTCTGGGCTAACCTGCTAGCCTAGCCTTTTTGCCTAAAACATTTCCTTACATATTTGCTAGCCTCGTTGTTCTGCTGTACTAGCTAATAGAACATTTTAGTTAAAAGGAATATGATTTTTATTTTTTTTTTACCTCCACCAGCAGTTGCAAAACATTTAGCTAGCTAATAGTATACAGATGAGGTTTTATCTGATTTAGCTAGGTAGCATTTACTGCAGTTTTAGCTTCTCTGTTGTTAACTTAGTGAAGGTGAGGCCTAATTATATATATATATATAATATATATATATATATATATACACACATGTATTTATCAATAGAAAAAGTTTCATATGTTTGTCTTAGTTTATTTTTCACAGTGTGAACAGCGGGTTGCGGCACACGGTGCATTTAGCTATAAATGGTGAATACTTTAGGTAATGTCTGTAATGACTAACAGTAGATGAATGATTTGTTAATGATGTTCATAATTAACTGACGCCATACAAATGACTTCTAACTGGTCGTTGTAATAAAGTGTTACCTTAAGTGGGGTTTTAGAACACTTACAGTTTTCCATATTCAATCTGTTTTCTACATACAAATATTACATAATGAAGAGGATACAAAAGTGTTTTGGATTAAAGCTGCAGTGTGTTATTAAAGCTGTGATCTTACAGACTGCAGTCATAACAAAGAGAGGAAGGCACGAGTAAATTGAAGAAAAACTCAATGGAAATGTACAGTATACACAAACAGGTGACAGCGAATGGTTTGTTTATGACCTGAATGTGCTGTGAAACTGCAGGTTCAGCCTCTCTCATGTTTCAGACTTCATACTGTACCATGTTCTTCAGAAGACATCAGAGCCAGAATGATGTAGCACCTGGAGAGAGTCGCAGAAGGGGTTCCTAGTCAATCATGAGCTTCTTGAGGGAGTCGAGATACGCTGGGATGAGGGAGCTGACAGACTCGTTGTCATCGTTGAGGATCTTCTCCCCCCTGCCCTCTGAGCCCACAGAGCTGGGAGACCGGACCAGGCCAGGGTAGGGAGTGCTGTAACCCTGGTGGAACAATCAGATACAATGACTTGGAGGGTTAGCATTCAGTTCTAACTCTGAATAATAACAACTTTAGACCATAATTGTCACAACAAAGTCATGATCTTATATCAAGTCAGCCGCTGATGGTCTGGTGGATGGATGTTACTTACAGAGGAGTACCCCTTGCCGAAGCTGCCTCTGTTCTTGGTCCTGATCTTAGTGAGTGCTGACTCAGCGATGTCAGCACGCTCCTCAGCGTCGTCCAGCTCATGGACGGTCTTCCTGTACTTCGCCAGGTTCATGTTAGCTTGCTCCTCCTGCATCAACAACAGTGATCAGAACAGACAAGAATTTCACAGAGTACGTCCGATTTTGAGTAAGTAAGAGGGCGAGGTGACGTACAGCCTCCTCCACTTGTCTCTTGTAGGCCTTCATCTTGTTCTGCAGCCTCTCCACCAGCTCCTGCATCCTCTGCTGGTTCTTCTGGTCCTCCTCTGACTGAAACAGCAGCTCCTTCAGCCGGCGCTCGTTCTTCCGCAGCGTCTTCACCGTCTCAGCGTGCCGCTTCTGCTCCGAGTCCAGCTCCAGCTCCAGCTCCTTCACCTGCACACAGACACGCAACAGCGACTTCACCTCTGGTCCTTCAGCAAATGGTACTTAATGTGTGTTTACATTCATGAGGACACATTTATTTGTTTTTTTCAGGAGAACCGTCTCGAGTCATTCCACCTAGATATATGTTTCTTAAAGGAAGTGATCAAATCTACCAATAGGGTCAGAAGTTAAAGTGATACTATACCCAGTGATTTACAGGACCAGTATGTAGGATTTAGTGGCATCTAGGGGGAAAGGTACAACTGTTTGAATACAGCTCATCCTTCTAAGTGTATAGCAGAAACTAACATAACACCACATAACAGCAATAACTAGGTATAATGTATAATGTTAGAATAAAATCGCAGTATAGAAGGGGGTCACTAAGGGCCTACAGCTCATTTATCCCTCAAGGCCCCCTCACAGGTTAATCCGGCCCTGGACTATACTCTATTTTCTGTCCATTGCATGTTGACTGGTATATATTATATTTGTTTCCTCAAAAGAAATGACAACAATAGAGATGCTTGCTGCTTTACATGAAATCCCCTCAGAATGATCAAACATACTGTGAGGTGCTCTTACTACGGTGCTTACCTTCAGGTAATACATATTGAAGTAACTGTTTGGAAGTGTTCTGAAGTACACAGCTAAAATTCAGTACAGGAACAACTATTTTTTATATTTCATATCTTATATTTTATTTCTCTAGATTTTCATTTGTGGCCTAATAGTTGAAAACAAAAGGTCAAAGGGGTCAGCGGCATCATGAATATTATGTAGATGTAATATTTAGCTCTGAACCAAAGTGTTGACAAACCAGCTGGACTGACCGACTGACACCTTCGTGACTCCGTACCTTTCCCTCCAACTTCTGGATGATCTTCTTGCCTCCTTTCAGAGCCATCTGCTCGGCCTCGTCCAGCCTGCTGCTCATGTCTTTGATCTGAGCCTCCAGACCCTTCTTCACTCTCTCCAGGTGGAGCGTGTGCTCCTGCTCCAGACGCAGCTCCTCCCCCACTCGCGCCAACTGGAAGAGTTACGCCGTCCATTAAGAATACATTCTTTCAGATAACTGAACATGTGTTACACTTCGCTGTACTGTCTTTTACCTCACAGCTGGCCTTCTTGATCTTGTCTGTGGATCCCCTCAGCTCTACCTGCAGCTCCTCGTGCTCCTGCTGCAGAGTCTGGAGATCCACCTCCAGCTTCCTCCTCCCGCTCAGAGTTGACTGGAACTGTGCACACAAGAGGAAACATTGAGACAGTCATCAGCCAAGTTTGATTCGTTTGATTAGCTTGCTGTTTCTGCAGGACCCGGAAGCAAAGAGACTCTATCAGGGTTTCTGCAGGTTTCAACAAGTTCAATTAAAGACTTTTTTAAGACCAGTATGAATGTAATTTAGGACCTATTTTACATCCATACTGGCAAAAAAAAGTCAAAGGGTATAAAGGAAAATCAGTATTGATCAATATACAATTTTCCCGAAAACACATTTAAAAGAGACACTGAAAAACGTTCTAGCAGTAATGTTAACTTCATTAATCCAATCAGTTGTTAAGACCTGTCAAAGTCATATTTTAGACATTTTAATTTAGATGACTGGATTTTAGACTTTTTAAGACCCTGTGGACACCCTGCATTATGTATCACCTGGTTGTTAAGGTCGCCGTATTTCTCGTTGGCCTCCTGCAGCTCAGTCTCCAGGGCCTTACGGGCCCTCTCTGCGCTCTCCAGGGCCACACGAGTCTCCTCCCCCTCGCTGACCAGCAGGGCGCAGCGTCGCTCCAGGGCCGCCTGCTCCTCCCTGCGCTCCTCGTGGCTCCGTACCTCCTCCTCCAACTGAGCCTGCAGGTCCTGGGACAGGGGACAGTAACTCTGTAAGTAAGTCTCTGAGGAAACCAGACCACTGTAAAATAATACTGCATCTTATCACCAGACCTTGATCTGCTGCTGCATCTTCTTGCTGTTCTTGCTGAGCTCTGCATTGTTCTTGGTGAGCAGGTCCACCTGCAGCTCCAGATCGTTGATGTCGGCCTCCAGTTTCTTCTTCAGCTTCAGTCCCTCTGCTCTGCCCTTCACCTCCACATCCAGACTGGCCTGCAGGGACTCCAGCGCCCTCTGGTGGCTTTTTCTGAGGAGAGGAGGAGAGGGTTGGATTGTAACAAAGACGTATAACAAAGTGCATGTTTAATTGCTGCAGAGACAGTACAGCAGGGTTTAATGACACAGGCCTTACCTCTGAAGATAATGTACTATTACTGTGTGGAAGGAATATAGGGAGATAAAGGACAGGATGAAAAACAATGAGAGTTAGAGAATTACAGAGCATTAGTGCTGAGGGGAATAGAAATAGTTTATTTATAGAGCACTTTCCAAGAAGGACACACAAAATGTTTCCAAAGTTAGTTAAATAAGTCAATGACAGGGCGTGAGCAGCAGTAAAACAGACACATGCAGTAAAAAGCAGTGAACAATTATACCATTAAAATTATATTATAGAAACAGATACAAATAAAGAAAAATAAAACGTAAATACAAAAATAAGCTACATAAAAGGCCATCTCAGAAACAGAGAAAGAAACAGTATTCACTCTTAAGCAGTGCCATTCTGGTTTTAAAGCAATAGTTAGTTTTGGGAAATATATTTATTTGTTTTCTTGCTGAGAGTTAGATGAGAAAATCGATACCACTCATATCTGTCCATTAAGTATAAGGTTACAGCCAGCAGCCAGTTAGCTTAGCTTAGCTTAGAGACT